ATCAATCCACCTTGCACACGGATTTGGTGCCAGGTGGCATTAGTCACCAAGTATGCTATACTGTCAGATAACTGTATGCTTATCGTTACCTGAAAGTGAAATATACGCAAAATTCCATTGACAACAAACATGCAATCTTTATTAAGAAAAGAAATAAATTTTTGCTGTGCACAGCACTTTGAATTGAATTGCATTTGATAAGAATTTACAAAAAGTGCTTATGTGCTGTGTTTTAAAGAGATGTTTTGGAAAAAACCCTTTATCAGGTGTAAATGTTAAGCGTTAGATGAAGACAACTGTGCAAAAAAATGTTTATTTTGATCTAAAGCTTAACATTTGCGACTGATGAGGGGGGTTTTCCCGAAACGTCTCTCAAAAACACCACACATTAATAAGCACTTTTTGTAAATGTTATTGAATGCAATGCAATCATTATGTACAACATCCATGCATCGCTGCCACACATTAGGTTTGTTGGCATTCCCGAGTCCCTCAAGAAGCCTTTGCTATGCATCATTACAGACTGCTTTGTTTCAAATTTCAAATGTTAATTTAATGTTCAAAACTCATTCAACCATAACCTCCCTTCCGATATCAAAATATTTCTTTACGAAATAAAGCTACTCTGTAAATCAAATCACCTACTGAACAAGATTGTTCAATCTCACTTTATTTCAGACTCTCATTTCCATTGCCATCTCCAAGAAGCTTTGGACTTGGCCAAGAAATGGAGAAATGTCTGAACTGCATTTACAGTCAACTTAACTACAATATCTTGATTTGCATACAGTATTTAGTGTTCCTTAACTGAATGTTATGGCTGCCCATGCAAATGAATTATACAGTTATTATTATTATTCTGAAAAGTCAAAATTGGACCAAAGCATCAAAACTACTGGATTAATTAGAGTTACTGCCCCTTTATAAACAGACCAACACTTAAATCAACATTAATTTAGCACAAATGTTAACTCAACACTATAATTATTGTAAACTATGTTTCATCATCAAGGACAGATGTTCACAAGTTATATCAGCCATTTTGTGAGTGAGAAACATTGAGAAGATACAAGATCTGAACATGCATATCATGCCAATGCACAAAAAACGTTTGCGACAGATCTGATTGAAACAGCTGGCTTCTGCTGCTCTAAAAAAGATTATTTTACACAAGACTGTTTTTGTTGGGCAGATAAAACAATCCAGAAAAACTTTGCACTATTTGAGCAGCTGGGCTAGCACCATCATGCCAATTACTTCATCGTGATTTAACTCAATGCCTAAATTAATGCCCTATCAAGAAACTCAGAAACTCAGTCTTGCGAATTTATAGACTTTCAGAAAAGTCCTTCATCTTGTTTATTCATTACCCGCCAGACAAAATGACTTTGTCGCTCGCTCGGCTGTTTCACAATCTTCACAACGCTGCTTTGTGGCCTAAAACCTCACAGCTCACTTTACTAACTTAACTATTTTATCCAGAAACTCATGAGGTCAACTTGTGGTAAGTCTGGCTTATTTTGTGCATTTGCACATACAGACTTCAGTTAGACACTTTACTCTCACAGTACCCTTGTCTAACCAGTACACAGTATAAATGGGTCACACGGTGCCAGCACAGTGTTAAATGCAACTTTACAATATTCTACAAGGTAACCTGCAATAGACAAACATAACACCTGTATGGAGTAGCAATACCTATAGTTGTTTCATGCTACAAGTCTACCTTCTCCAACCATTTCAAATGAAACAGACATTAGTTAACATACTTATACTTGCCTATACAGGTTTACCTGACAAGTAGGATTGAACAAAGTTTGAGAGAATAATCAAATGACAAACAAAGGGAATTATGTCACAAACTAAATGAATTTTGATTTAAACGTGTTGGTACATGATCGCAATTGCTCAAATAGCATTCTTTCTGCCCCTTATAACATGCAGGATAGATCTTTCTGATTAGTTTTAAAGGTTTTTTAAAACTAGATTTTAATAGTAGCTGTAAATACCAAAATGAGACAATTTCCATACCTCCCCCATGGAAGGGAAGGCCCCTACCCCTCTGGAAATTCCAA